AGTCTCTCAAACTCATGACTTAGTCTTCAATTATTATTGATGTATGTTCTCTCTCTCTCCTAAATCTATCTAGTGGTGCTCCTGTACATGTGGTTAGTGCTGACCACTTGGAATTGGATAGCCTATCAGGGTCTTAGCCCTGGAGGAAACCGATTCTCCCTATCTCAGCAGCCATCGAGTTTCTGTGACTTTGTGTAGGGTTGGATCTTACAGTATTTCTCCCCCTACAACACTGGCATGCCAACTGGTATCATCATTGTCAGGTCTTGTTTGGACAACCTATTGTTGAGATTTCATGGCTGCGGCATCCCTGTCAAGTTTGGAAGACACTATGTACTAGCAGATGTCCTGAACCTCTGGCTCTTATATTCTTCCTGCCTCCTCTTCTGGCATTTACCCTGAATCTTAAGTGGAGGGTTGTATTGGAGTTATAGCAATTGGAGCTTGGCATCATATGGTCACCTGACCAGCTGTGAACTTCTGTAATAGTCTCTATGACAAATAGAATTTTATTTGATGAGAGGTGAGGATTAGAATAGAGTTAGAGATTGGTGCGGGAGAATTGTTTGTATTCTGTCAATCATGTTTTAAATAAATGCTGATTGGCCAGGCAGGAGGTGTAGGTGGGGAAATCAGACAGGAAGTGGAAATGATGCAAAGAGAGCAGGAGAATTCTGGGGAGGAGGAAGTTGATTCTTCGCACTCCTGCCCAGACCACTGAAGCAGCAGGATGTAAGCTGCCCCACTGAAAAAGGTACTGAGCCACATGGCTAAAATAGATCAGAATAATGGGTGAATCAAGATGTGAGAGTTAGCTAATAAGTAGCCTGACCTAATGGGCCAATCAGCATTATAACTTACGGAGTTCTCTGTGGTTGATTTTCTCTGGGACTAAACAGTTGTGGGGTACTGGGGGGCCGAGCGGGACAGAAAGCACAAACAAGCAGGGTCCTGCATGTTACAAGAGATCATACTAGTTTAGAAAAATAGGGTCTGTGACATTTCCATGCATGCATGGAGTTTCCTCCCATTGAGTGGGTCTTAAGTCAAATTAAAATGCTATTGGTTACTCTCAGGATACCAGATGCCACTATTGCACCCTTGTGGGTATCCTGCTGGGCTGGTCATTGCTGTGGTCCACAGCTTTGGGATTGGGTAGGACTACTGATTACTTTTTCTCCCGGGCAGCTGGCATAGCACCTTCCACTGCTAGTGCTTCCAGGCCAGTTCTGGCTCAGTTCTTCTAAATTCTATGTCTGAATGACAAACTCGTGTTCCTTCTTGTTTATGGATCTTAGATCGAAATCTTTGGGTTTGAGCATATAACCTAAAGCAACCACAGAGGCCAGGAGAGAGGGATAAGGGGAATCGGGAGGAAGATGGCACTCTACAGAGGGGGATAGCAGAACACAGGCTCTATGAAGGAGGAAATGGGAAAAGTGGGGGGACTTTAAGTGGGGAAAAGAAGTGTAATACAGATAGAGGAAGGATAGATAAATAACACTAAAGATGGTTTTTGAAAATAGAGAAACGTATTTTATATGTTTATGTTAAATATGTATCATATATATGTATGTACTTAGGTGTGTATACATATACCTATATAGTTTAAATGGAGTTATGCCACATGAAATGAAGTGAGGGTGAGGGAAGAAGAATAATGTGAAGAAAGATGCCAACACAGGGGTTGTGATCACCTGCTCTCTGGATGCGGAGGTAAGTGGCTTGCCCTCGGTACTAGAACCTGTAGGTCTTCCGTTAAGAGGCCTCCATAGCTTCTAGGCAACACTTTGTAGATACAAAGGTCTTTCCCACTCTGTTACTACTTTTTATTCTCAGCATCCAGGGAGACGATCTCATACCCATTGTGATTAACAATGCCACATGAATAAAACATTCTTTAGATGCATTAGTTCAAATAAATATTTAAGCACCAGTGTGGCAGGTGCCAAGGCACACAGACAATAAACAGTTCCTCACGAAGCCAACTGACATTTCACAGTGCCTGGCCTCTATCCTCAGTCCTCTGAGATTACATAAAAGTGTCACATTGAGATTTTAGACAATTATGTGAGTAGCCAATCATATTATAAAGAAACCAGTGACAATGTTCTTTGAAGAGATGCCAAAACATCTGTACAAATTTGGCCTTCAATATTAGCTGCCAAGTCTGTGTCCAGGATGGAGCTTGACCACCATGTAACAGGTGGTCACTATCTGTGTATTGGAAAATGGTAGTTTTACAAAGTGTCTGAGGTCTCAGTGCAAAGGGTTGGCATAGGCCCTCTTGTTTGGACTCTGGTCTCCTTCTATCACAGAAGCACAGACTTAATGAAGCCACTACAGCCCTTCTCAGCCAGGCACACTGATCTCAGTTCTATCTACCATCCTCTTAAAGACTTTCATTACCAAATAGCAGAGATCTCGTGAAAATATAGAAAAGTTCCAGTAAGTGTGGGGGCCGAATTATGCAGGCCCACATTCCACAATGTCTGGCAGTCAGAGAATCTGAACAACTTACAAGGCGCAACTGGCACCTTTCACACCGGGGGTCCCCTAGCTCTTTGACAGTAAAACAACCTGATACCATCCTAACTAGTGATCAGGATATGCCGAAGTCATTCTGCTCCTTCTATTGTAAATTAGAAGGGCATCTGAAGAAGAGGTATTTTCAGTGACAAATGGGCATGAGCAGGATGTGACCTAAGTAATCCCCCATCCCATCTAGGAAACAGTGCTAAGTTTGTGTTACCTGCCCCCTTCAGTTTATATAAAAGCTGTTTGGAAAATAAACAGGGGATTTCAGGATATGATTTCAGGATTTGAATGAACCCTGAAACTCCCTCCCAATACTGTCTTGTGAACTGTACCTCATTTATTCCCGCACTCCCACTCTGGTACGAGAAATGATTCATGTCCAGGCTGGTCCCTGACAAGTAAGTATCTATATCCCGAACATTCAGTGTTAATTTTTTAGCCTGCTCCAATTTTAGATTTAAAAAACAAAATTTCCTTCACCTTTGTGAATTTCATCCCCATCCAATTGCCCCTCAAGACCAAACAAGCCGTTATGGCCAGTGAGTTGCCTCTTGCCCATACTTGGATATCATAATGATATACGCAGGTACCCCCCCCAATTCTTAATATTGTCTTGTTGTGTGTTTCAGATAGATGATAACATACTGTTCATCATGTAACTCTGAGACCCAACACTTACTTTTTCATTGTTGGCATATGCAGATCTGGTTCAGGTTCACCCATTCTAGCATTCCAGCATATGGATACTGGAATATTCCAGCATACGGGTACTCATTCATTCCTCTATTACTGAGCCTTGAAAGGTGTTCACCTACTAATTTCTTAAACTATTGCTCACATGGCTATGTGTGCCCTATACCATTTAGGCACTGGAAAAACAACGAGAACTTATATGATTCTTTCATTTGGAACCGAATATAAAGAACCCCCTTGTAGAAATGCCAAGTAGCTGGCTGGGTTTTGTGTGGAGAGCAAACAAACAGACAAAGACTGAAGAAATACTCCAGGGGTACTATGCATGGAAGACGAGCACTCCACACCTGAACCATAACCCCAGCTCCAAATCTCTAGAAGATTCATGTTCCTGTTTAACTCACAATTAGGCCATACGGAAAAAAATGGAAAGAGAAATATAATTTTTATATCCTACATTTTGACACATTCTCTTGCACTACCCAGAGTTTCACCCTCCTTCAAGGACTCTATTTTTTAAAAAATTACCACTTTCTACTAATTGCCAGGATTATGCAGTTGAGCACATGGCCATTTAGAACATGTGTTCACACATGCATCATTGTACACCGTGATTTATATCACGCTGTTCACCTCAGTCTTTCCCAGGCTGTTTTGCAGGTCTATCTTATCTACCCATCTAGATCATAAGTTTCCTTTGAAGATGGCTTGTGTATTATGCATCTTTGCTTCTTCCAAAATTCTTTGTCCAATAGAAGGCCTATGCCAGTGCCTGGCCAATCTTCACTAATGGGTTTCTGTTGCTCCTGGTTTCAGGAACATCACGGAAGGGGGCTCTCCCTAAAATAATCATTTTTCTTTGTCACCCATCTGCCCAGAGTGACCTTCCAGAAGACAAAGCAACTTCCTTTTAAAGTATCACTTAAAAGTACATCTTAATTTTACTTTTGGTCAACACATAATCAGATATTTTTATAGGCTACAATAAGACATTTCAATACACGTACACTATTTATAACCATCACGTAAGGATAATGGTGGATCTGTCTCATCAGACATTTGGTTTTGGAATAGTAAAAATCCTCTTCTAGCATTTTTTAAATATTAAATTGCTGTTAACCATAAATGTCCTGATCTGCTACAGAACACAGGACGTTATCCCTATATTCAGATAGAGCCCTGTATATATTGAGTCTCTCCACTCACAATTATTTACTCCCTTCCCAGAATCTACTCACCACTATTCTATTCTCTTAAGTAGCATTTTAAAATATTTTTCTAAAGATCAATTAATAGGGACCCCTTTTTGAGGAAAAGAGATATGAAAAGTAAACCCAGATTTTCTTTCTGAGGAAAATTAACAAAACACGTCTTTGCTCAGCACACTTGAGTTCGTTCCTGAGGGATGAATCCTGGTCAGAGACAAAGGTTCCAGAAGGATGGTGTCCAGTATTGCCATCCTTCCACGGTTTGTCTCCACTTGCATTCAGGACTCATAGTCAACAATCACACATTCTGTAATCAGCATTCTCACTACTCTGAGAAATGACTATGGTACCATGAGTGTGTTCTGCCTCTGCACCCACTGCCTCTACCCATCTCCTCCTTTTAAAGTCTCTTTGGGAAGTTTTTTTTTAATCAAAATTTCTGAAGTTGTGCTCTTGCATTTCAGAACTTCATGCCTCCCTGCAACTGACCTTCTGCAGGTTACAGTGCAGCACAGGGGAGCTACTCCCTCTTGGATCCATCTGGAAGAAACATCACTGCATTACCACGTCCCCTATGGCAAGATCCGCAACATCCTGCTGCACAGACAAAGAACTTCCTTTATCGGTACGCAAACAAGGTGTGTTCTGAATTCCAAGCTGGAATTCAGAATTTGATTTTTCCACAGCAACCATCCTAGACGTGCTAGGCTCCCAGGATGCCCACCCAGCCTGCATGCTTAAAATGCCTTGAAACCTTCCTAAGAGGACACGCATCTAAGGTCACTCAGCAGGTCTGTGCTCGGGCCCCAGCTAAGGACAAGGAGAGGCAAAGGCGCTACTGGAAACATAGATATTTTGCAGCCACTGGCTACCCGATCCAATGAAACTGGAACAAAGTTCTCTTCTATTATTCATGGAATGGCAGAGGTGGGGTTTGTAAAGTACAAGCTAAATATTCGGACACCCATCTCAAAAGCTTTGATTAATCAATGCATATTTACTAAAGCAAGTATTTATTTCCCTCCTAGGTCTATGTTGATAGAGTACTAAACTCTTCGGGGAAGAGAGCGCCTATCTTAGACATTCCTTAGTGTGTTTACTCATTCACCTTCATTGCACCCCCATCCTGTGTGTCACAACCATCGCCTACAGTAGTAAAGCTACCGTTTATAGATGGTGCTTCACGAAGACCAGCATCAACAGATCTCAGTCCTTAAGCGGCAGGAGTGTGCCATGTGGTAGAGCACACTTAGGAAGGGGATGCTCCTAACCCAAAACTGCTAGCAGCCTCCAAACATAATTTGAACTCTGCCAACTTTCTGTCTTCCTGTCATCGTCTGAAGCTATTTCTGCCATTAAAATACATGCTTTGTTGATACTCATGGGAGACCTGTCCTTTCCTAAACAGAAATGGAGGAGGAGTGGGAACAAGGGGAGGGTGAGGGAGGGACTAGGGGGAGAGGAGGAAGGGGAAACTGTGACCAGGATGTAAAATAAATAAATTTATTTATTTATTTTTAAAGATACTATTTGTTTTAAATGAGTCACCCCAGATCATGCTTGAATACTACGTCCAATTAAATGAAGCTGAGCACTTCTGACTTCTGTTTAGTTTCTGTGGATTGAAATTTCCATTTGCATACAGGTATACCTTGACTATACCCCAAAACTTTCCATACTAATACACTTACAGGAAAAAAGGGAAAATGGAGCTTGAAAAGGCAAGGGTTGGATTAAAGGATGCTCATGCACTGAGGTCATTATCAAATGTCTAGGAAGCAGGAGACCAATGAGACTGCTCGTTAGGACAGCCCAAGGCAAGCATTCACTGGAGCTGTGTGGCCCATCCCTCTACCACTAGACTTGGGCTATTTCAAGGCTGTTACTTCATGAGATTCATGCATCTGGTCTGCCTCTGCAGGTTTCTAATTTCAGCCACACAGACAGAGTCCAGGAAATGAAGCAGACACGTAGAAAGGCCTGCAGAAACAAAGAAGATACCAAATGAATAACTGCTCGCCTTGAAGGGATTTCAAATAAGAGGCTCAAAGACGGAGAGAAAAAGATTAGAAGAAAATGATAGACCAAAAAAACCCATAGACGCAGGCACAGCCCGAAGCTGAAGTTCACAGAACAGTGACGCGAGAGAGGCATTCCTGCACTTGAAACCGAATGGAGATGATGAGAAAGGTTTGGGGACAAGTTCAAGGTCAGGCAGGGATGGGGAGGACAGAGACTGGGGTGCAGGGTTCCTGCTCCAGTCCTTCCTAACTCTAAGGGTGTGTTCACAGTTCCTAACTTTGGTTAAGTTTCGAGTTTTAAAAACAAAAATCTTAGTCTTCTGGAAAAACTGTAAACAAGCTTCAACAGCACCATGGAAACCACAGGACAACCAGGAAATGTTGGAGGACTGCTGAGCTGGACCTTTACCTCCAAAATTTCCGACAGGGTGAGTGAGCCTCAGCTTCCTAAAAAAGCCATCATCGGGGATGAATGTGTGTGACATTCAGGAGTCACAGTGGAACAGGACGGGGGACAGAGTGCTCTCAGCAAATGCTTATTATTTTCTTATATATATATATTTATATATATATATATTAGATAAAGGAATATGTTATATATTATATAATGCATAAAATATGCTATATATTAGAATATCATAATCAATATGCAACCAAAAATGAACTTTTTTCATATATTCTAGTCTGATCAGTTTCCCCTCTCCCAACTCTTCTCAGGCCCCCCCCACACACATACACACATTCAGTCATTTAATATCAAGTCTCCACATTGTTGGACCTCAAAAAATATTCCATTTGCTCGAATTTGAAATCCTGACATAGTTCTGAATCCATAAAAGAAAGACTAAGAAATTTGAAGATTCCACAAACAAATATAAAGTCTACCAGAAAATGGGAGGAAAACTGACATACAAATATACAGAGAAAATATTAAAATATCTCAAGGTCTGTGGTGGCACGAGCCTTTAGTCCCAGCTCTTGAGAGGGAGAGACAGGTGGATCTCTGAGTCAGAGGTCAGCCTGGTCCACATGAGTTCCAGGCCAATCAGAGCCATGTGACAGGACACTAGAAACAGAAGAGAAGGGACAGGAGGGAGGAAGAAGGGAGGGAATGTGGGGCAAGGGGAGAGAAGGGGAGGAGAGGAGAGGAGAAGGGATAGAGGGAAGAGAGTGGAGAGGAGGAGAGAAAAGAGAGGGGTGAGTCCGTTGGTGTATATTAATTGGGAAGACCAGACTTTCTTCAATTTCTTCTCACCTGGACCCACCAGAAACCTCCACCTCCGACCCCCTGGTCCTCCACTGTGCCCTTCTCTCATCTCTTCTGGCATACACAGCATCTGGCCTAGCGTTACTCATGCAGACGACAGGTCACATAAAGGCAAATGCTTTCTTGTCCTTGTTTTGATTCCCCATTGTTTGACCCCCAAAGGGGGCATAACCCACAGATTGGGAATCACTGCTATAGAGCAAAACAGGCAATAAGCCTGACAGGACAGTTGCATTCCCAGTGAGAGTTAGTAAGGGATCATCAGCTATCAGCAAAGGGTTGGGAAGGGCAGAAGGACCAAGCCTCACAAGGTCTCCTGGTAAAACCTTGCTTCCTCGAGGAGTAGATCTGGGTAGTCATGTGTCTGATGGCAACAAGGGACCCTCAACAGTGAGTCTGGGACTTTGTAAAGCAGAGACGAAAAAACAGAGGAAACCAGAGACAAATTGATTTTGGAAAGAAATCTCCAGTCAGTCTAAAACAAAGAGGATGCTGCTACTGTTCTGTGCCTAAAAAAACAGTGATGTAATGCCAGAACAAGGACCAACTTCTTACCACCTGGGCCACAAGCAAGGTTCAGGCAAAAGACCACCACTCAGGAGCAAGATAATAATTCCATCCCCCAAACAGTATCTATACAGTAACATTCCCGTTTTCCACAGTAGAATTTGCCTTTAACTTTCTATCAAGAAGATCAATCCATAAATTTCTATGAGGTTATATTCTAATGACACCAAAATATATATGGTGATACCACACTGCTTTAAGCAGCTTGTTTTATGCACATATTGTTCAAATAATTTGAAAGACAATGTGTCAAATCATGGTTGCTGTTTTGAAGCAACAGGCACCAAAACCAACAGTCAGGTTGTATAGATTCCTATTAAATTATAACATTGATAATAGGTGTCCCAAAAATCAAACTAAAATCAACACTAGAAAATCTAAGTACTCAGCTGTTTTTTCATGATGAAAATGCTCCAAAAGAGACATCTTCTTGCCTTACTGGCTACAAGGTAGATTTTTAACGGTTGCATGGATCTGCGGTATAGCAGTAAAGAATTGGATCAGCAGGGGAGGTTTTCAGCGGAGGCAGGGTGTAGCAGAGGAAAAGGAAAGACTTACACTCAGAAATGAATAGAGACACTCTTCCATAATAGACACTGTAGGGAGGCAGCTTGTCGGTGTGACCCAGGCAAGCGCACCCTCTTGGAACACAAGTAACTCAGAACCAGCAAAAGTCGACAGAGCGGTGAACAAGGAAACCTTCCTCCAGAGATGCTCAGATGGCAGCGCCTCAGAGCCGTACAGCCTGGCTCCTGTGACTCCACATAATGTCCCAGCAGATGAGGTTGTCTATCTGTTACCCAAGTGCCTTCCTCAATACCCAGGCCACTGTCAAAATTGTAAACCTGTAACTCCTCTGAATGAATGGGGAGAACAGTGACTTTCACGTGAAGGATCTCAGAAAAACTACTAAGTGAATGTCCTTCGTGACGGCTGTTAGGATTTCAAGCACGTAGCCCACTTTGTTTGCAATCCATCTGCATGGAATCAACACACAACACACATGGAAACAACAACATTGAGTGCGTCTCAATCTGAAGCTTCCCAATGAAATCTAAGGATGTGGGTTTCCAATCAGACATGCACCTGGGTACCTACTGCTCAAAATAAAATTGAAGTAGTAATGAAAATTTCAAAACAGATAAAAACATAAAAAAATACCTAAAACAGAAAATGCCCGTCAAGCAACGGAGGAGACTGGCTACTGGAGAGGTAGCGCTAAACAGTACAGAGGCTTCTCACATAGAATGCCAATTTGAGGTTTCAGCATGGTTTAGTGAACACCGTGTCTCGGGACGGCTCTAACAGCATAGTGACACACAGGGAAAAGAGGAGGAAGGCTCGAGGCGCCTCTACTCCCATGGGCTCACCTCAGAGGCAGAACCTTGCAACTCTGCCTCAGACGCAACTAATGGGTCTCACTGCTGATGGTCTAACCAAAAACACAGGATCTTACCTATGTAGGATAAATTGTAGGCCTCCAAGAGACATCTTACAAGGACTTGAGACATTTGCTATTGAATTTTACACCGCTTATCTGTGGGATTGGGCTTCTGAGTCCTTCCAACAACTGTCTGTGTACATTTACTGTCAGAGGTTGACTAAGAAATAGAGGATCTTATAATTATTTCCCCTGCAAAGTCAACTGGCTTTAGCGATGCTAGAAAGCATTTAATATTAGACATAAAAAACTTATCATCTACCAAAAAGCTCATTACCAATGTTTAATAGTACCCCTCCCACCTTGTGCCTCCCACGGACTCTCTAGACCAGTTTGGCATACTCAATGGAAGGCAGAAGCTCCAGAGTCCAGATAGACTTTCAGCATTGTAGACAAACTTCAGGGATTAGCCTCCCGCCTCACAGTGCTCCCCTTCCAAGCTCACAGCCAAGTTACCCAGCCTTGACATTTCAGTAGAGCCCTGGCTGTGAGATGGAAGAGCGGTTTAAGGTCATAGATAAGTACAGGCCAATGAGAGAAGCAAAACGCATCCTTTCTCTACTCCACGGGTACACCTGGTTGGGTATTCACAGGAGTGGTTCCGAATGGACTAGTTCTATCTCACTGTCAAGAGTCACACAAAGCATTTTATGTGACATCTGCTCCTGGGAAATCAGAATCTTGTTTCCTCCTGAGCCATCCCACTGAAGATGGGATACATGACGTCAGCTTTACACATGGAATTGAGAAGATCACCCTCTGCCCAGAAGGAAAGGGAAGCAACACAGAGGGCTTAGAAACAGGTTCAAGAGGACCCACGGGTAAATCTGAGCATGTAGCTCAGTGGCACTGTGTGTGCCTGCTGCACACAAGGCCCTGAGACTGATCCACAGCACAGGGGAGAAAAAAAAATTGGAAGGGCTTCTTGGACCAATCAGATGGCTCAGTGCTAAAGATGCTTGAAGTCAAAGCCTGGTGACTTGGGTTTGATACCACAGAACCCAAGCAAAATCAGGAAGAAGGAATTAATGAACTCCACAAGACATTTTTATAATCTCCACACACAACCATGGCATGCATGG